ATACAGTGCCGTGGACGCTCCATTTTTTGTCTTAATAATCAAAAGTTTGCTGCTCCGAGAAGAGGAACTATGACCTGTAGCTGTACAAGTATATAGTGTGTATATATATTGTGAGCTGCAATGCACACTTGGCGCTCAGATAGAATCAAATTGCTTTTTCCGATTATCCGCTCAAAAAATCTAAATCGAAGCTGCTCGAGAATATTAGAAAAATAACACTTCTTTTTTTCTCTCTCTCTCTCTCTCTCTCGGTACAGTGCGTATTATACACATATCGAGCGTCGAAAAACGGATATCGGCCTTTTCATAATGGCCTATCTCTCGCGTATCGCTGGCACGTACGACTTAATTATCGGCGGCGCGCGAAATTTCCGGTAAAACGAGTTTTCAACTCGCTGATCGTGCCTGCTTTGTACTACTGTATATAACGTTGCATCAACTCGGAGATCGAGCTATATAAACTATACATACGCACGACGTTTATATTATATACATTTTTCTAGCCTAATCCGATTTTCAAATCCGCTTCCAAAATTTTGAGAGCTGCAGCTCCAAAATGCTCGAGCGAGCTGGCAGCTCCATTTATTTCGAGTCTATTCTCTGCCTCTGAGAGAGAGAGAAAGAGAGAAAGAGAGAGAACTAAGCTCGTAATATTGCATCCAACACTTTCTACTTTTCACACGTGCAGCAGCAGCGGCAGCAGCACACAGACGCACTGGCATGAAATTTGAATTTTATCCGCCTCTAGTGCACGAATATGACTTACAAGTGCCCGACTCTCTCGAGCAACGCATAGAGGCGTATAATCAATAACGATTATGCAATTGACCGGAGCAGCAGCAGCAACGACCAAAAGGGAAAATGCGTTTATATATATATATCCTATATCGTAATCTATTAGTCTTCATTAATACCGTATATGCGTGTGGATGCTTATAATATAGGATTAATTTTCGTCGAACTGAACTAGTATAGCTATGTAAGAAAGAGAGAAAGAAAGAGAGAGAGAGAAGAAAAAAAATCAGATGACCCGAGAGTAAACGTGTAACTTTACACGTTCGATAAAAAAGGCCTATACCTCGGCGCGGAGCGCATGTAACGAGCTTCGAACTAGCCTAGACGCTTACGCAAGATAAAATACGTATAACCGCGCCTAACACATACACAGACACATGCAGCATGCATACGTATACACGCTCGAGCGTACCACATGCATGTACGCACGTATAGTCGAGTCTGGTATTAGCCGATCTTCGCGCTCGGGCTAGCCTCTATAGCTGCACGCGGAGAGAGAGAGAGAGAGAGATCTCGTTATACATACGATCCGTCCATTAATCTTTCGCTTATGGAATCAATTTATTTTTACATCTTTTTAAAGCAAAATATATTAAAAAAAAAGTAAAATAAAATAGGAAAAATTGTTGTTACGTAAGGAACTCGTGCGCGCGCGCGCGTGTGTGTATCTTTTCTTTCCTGCACCATAAGCTCGCAAAAAATTATGATATCCTCGCGTACGCACACGATCGCTGTCGAGATTTATAATTTATAATTTAATGCACACACACACGCAGAGATTTTTGGCGGATCGCTCATCACGCTTAGCTCGTTGAAATCATCGTAATACAACAATGATTTTACGACTTGTACATATAGATATTTAATGTCTGCTATCTCTCGCTCTCGAATATAAACATTTTCTTTCTCTCTGTTTCTCACTTGCACTCGCCGCGAGTTCACACGCCGAGTATAATACACGAATTGCCTCCGAGGCATATGTGTGTGCTGATATTACAGTAAGGATTATTAAAATTTTGCGCGATTCGCGGCGCGCGCGAGGCAATATTAGAAATTCTCCCATTACGATCGAGCTGTGTGGCCAGCCCCTTTATTTTACGTCTATTTATAGATATATAGATATGTGCATTATTATAACATATACGCAATTACAAATTACAATAGGGCAATATTATTAATACAGTTTGCACAATCGATCACTTTGTGCCCGTATATAATACAATACAATATATAATACGTTTCGTCATCGTAGAACCTGCTGTATGCATCTAGTCACTCGATGAGCGTAATAATAATATAATTCGACCAATTACATAATAAGAGAGAGACAGATTTTGGTCGTATACGCAGCACGTGGAGATCGATATTATATACTTGATGCACAGCACACACACACACACTAAAGTGTCAAATCAATTATCCCGCACCGCGAGTCGCGCGCGGAGCTAACCAGTGTCTATATAGAAAAATAAAGTACGTAATACAGCTTCTAATATATAAAGTGGTACAGCCAGTTTCTGCTGCTGCTGTGCGAGCGAGACTTTAAAAGCCGGTGAAATCGACAAAAAAGTCGCACCGTACTGGTAGGTATAGGTAAGTATATAGCCCGAGAAAATAAATCGAGCAAAATTAATTGAGGGCATAATAGTCCCAATGCGTTTTGTAATCGATGCGCGTGTGCCTGTGTGTGTAGGTCTGTTGCTGTTGCTGCTGCGTGATACATAATATATACTATATAGTAGCTGGTACACGTGTACGCTTCATTTACTCAAAGAAACGAGTATATAAAATCAGGGAAGGAAAAAAAAAGCAGACAGCGCGCGGGGCTATATAGCAAAAGTTTCGCGCGCGACCCAAGTCTCCGCACTGCAGCGAGAGAGCAGCAGCAAATCGCTCGTGTAGCGAATCGTCAATTAGTCGCCTATATATAGCTATGCGTTATAAGGCGCGCGTGCACGAGCTGAGTACACACACAAATTGTTCGACGGTTCGGACTTTTTTCGCAAGTGCAAAATCATCGCCGAGGACTCTTCTCCCAATTAGCTTCCCCGCGCGTATACTATCGACCAGACGACGACGACGAGGAATTGAAACGCGATTACGGCGATGGATCATAATTGGCCCCCAGCTTCGTGGAGCTGTTCACTATTCACGAGCACAGCTAGCTGCTGCATGTATTTATCCGCTTTTCCCGTTCGATGCGGGAAAATTTTTTCCCGAGTTATTTTTCACGTTGGTGTTTAACGAAAAGAGTCGAGAACCTTTGTGGTTACACTAAAATGTGTATTATCATATTCATTACTTCTTAGTAATATAAATCGGTTTTAAATTAGTCAACGCTTTCACTATAAGTGACATCTTTGTTCCAATTACTTTCCTCGGAAAAATTCGACGATCGTCCAGCTAGAGCTCATACTTTTTTGTTCGTTACGATCGAGAAGCGGCCCCCTTTGAAACTTGAAATGCAGCGTTGTCGTTGCGTATACACTACCACAAAACGCGTAATCTTGCAATTGTGCATCGATATAATTTCAAGAGGGCGTGCTAGAGTGCAATAAAGGCAGCAGCAGCGGCCCGATATCGATTCGATCGAGGAAACGAGCGTCCGAAAAACTTTCCCGCGCGCGCGCGCGCCGCAAACAAATTCAGACACATTTTCACGGGCGACGACAAAGAGTATATAGTAGAGCCTCGCTTAGCCAGGAACAGGGGTAGGGGAGGGAGATATAATTACTTTCACCGTAATAATAGCCGCGAAAATAGACGCTCGCGCGCGTGGCACGAAATAGTCCAGGAGAGGAAAAAAAAACAGAAAAAATTAGTGAACGAGATCATTAGCTTCTCGTGCGCGGGGAGGGTTAGATAACGCGAACGCGTGCATAAATACATGACACTGAGTCTCCTGCTGCTACTGCTGCGGCTGCATAAGAATTATATTCGCGACGTGTCAATTTCGAGGTCGAGATCAGAGCCTGTACGCGTGCTGTGCTGTACACTGCACTCGCGGGACAGCCGGGTATTTAATATGTAACACAGCGCGTCGTTATATCTGTGCGCTTGGCGAGTGTCGATTATGCGCCCGGCAGTAGTAACCGCAGCGGCTACTTCCTAACTTTCTTTCCGAGGAAGGAACTTATATAGGCGCTCGCGTCGATATATATCTCGTAATTATATTCGCGCAACGCGAACGGCGCAACTTACTTACCTTTTTTTTCTCCCAAATCCGCGCAGTGGCGAGGGGATTATAAATCTATCCGGAAGTAGAGAGTATGTATAGCATGTAGAGATAACGATCCATCTCCCCCTCGCATGAGCACGAGGAGATATCTCTGAATGTCTTACTTTTTTTTTTTTTACTTATTTTCAGACGATCAGGAGGCGAACGATCGTTTGTATACTTCCTAGCACCGAAAACTTTTAACTTTTAGGAGGCAAGCGATAAGCATCCGATGCTTTTTGCGAGAGAGAGTAAGGCAACAGGTCAAACGGTCGCGATGCGGTGAGGAAAATTTCCGAAAGAAAAAGGAGAAGCAGATCTCGATCGTCCGAGCTCCACAGGTAACTCGCATCCACTTCCAGCCTAAAGTACATTTATCGTGGATAATTTGATTGTTTTTTGCCAATATGCATCGAGCAACAATCGACTTGACATCAAGTTTAAGGTATAAACAACTGCAGCAGCAGCAGCAGCAGTACAAAGCCAGTTTCTACGTAGGCCTGTGTGTAAAAGCCCAACGTAACCGTTCTACGTCGAGAGAGCTATATACGAAATCTTAATTAAAATAGTTTCGAGATAAAGCGAGCTAGCGAGCGAAGCTTTGCAGCTCCACGTTTACGAACTAGTATATAGGTTTCGTTATTCGTTTGCTGCTGCGTTGTGTTGCTGTTGCTGCCGCTGCTGCCTGAAATGCAGCCGCATAAAGACGTTTCGTTCTCTCTCTCTCTTTCGAGAGTCCGAACGTAGAAAGGCCCACGTCCGGAAAGTTTTTAATGAAGCGTACACTCGTCACGCAGCTGTAGGATCTCATCTCGTATATGTACATATGATACAATAGGCTAGTAAACGTGCGTACACAAGCATGTGCTACCGAGCATGTGTTGTAAGTTACAGGCGCGTTGACAGCGTCGACTGACAGTTTTTGTATAATTACTAGGTATCGTTAAATACGAATGTTTGTTTATCAACAAACGCTCCGTCGGCGAGAGAAGCCGACGCGAGTGTAACAGCCGCGAACTTGGGCAAAACGATCGCTCGTACTGACAGTTCGTGGCTGCGAGGCCATTGCGAAGGAGACGTTCGAATACGGAAAAAATTTCATTTTGACTCTGGGTTATCAACCTTTTTTTTTATTCTTTTTTTTTTTTTTTAATTGACAAGGTAAGTAAGAGCTAGTCAAAAGTTCTCTCGAGTGAAATAAAGCTGATTGTAACAACTGATTATTTGCTTTCTTCAGTAACGAACTCGTTTGTACGCGCGAGGAAAAATGGCCACGATGGGAAGCGACCTGCTCACGGCGATTCTGCAGAAGACCGACAACGCCGCCTCGTACGAGTACAATCTTTGGACCGATTCCCAGCGGAAAGTTACGCCGACGAAGACGATGATATGGCCGCTCAGGTCGGGGTCGGTGGCGACGACGGCGACGATGACGACCACGAGCTCGGAAGAGGATCGCGCCCACTTCGAGCAGATTTTGCAGCGCTTGGTGCTCCAGAAGGAGATGCAGCAAAGGTTGCAGAGGAACGAGGAATTTTGGCGATTGTTCCCGCATCTGCGAAAACCGAGCCAATTCAGTGCCGAGAAGGCGGCTCATGCGAAATCGATCGTCGCCGAGGAAAATCGTCGAAATTACTCTTATCCGAACGTGCAGCAGCAGCAGCAGCATCCACCGCAGCAGCAGCGGCTTCAAAATGATCGCGAGAAGGACAAGAAAGACGATCTCGACGACAGCGAGCAACAACGCAGACGATTCTGGTCGATGCTCACCAGCAAGCTGCCCGACGATGGAAAGATCAAGCGCGAGTCCCAGCTGCAGCATCACTTGTCCGCGCCAGCCGCCGAGGTCGAGCAGCAGCAGCAACAGATCGAGGCTCAGGCAGGGGAGCCACCGGCGTTTACGGCGAAGATACCCGATTGGGCGCGCAAGAGGCTGCCCAAGACCAAGTACGCCTGTCGCGTGTGCAAGAAGGAGTTCTTCAAGCCGCACAGCGTCGAGTGCCACATGATTCTCGTCCACGACGCCTCGAGCGGCGAGCTTACCTCGAACGACGAGTCGAGCTTCCGATCGAGCGCCGAGCGCGCGATCAAGCTGTCCTCGGTGAGCAGCTATCCGTACCTCGACGATGCGGTTGATGGTGACTACTATAACGACGACGAAAACGACGACGTCTTCAATCCGACCTTCTTCAGCAGCAGCAGCGACGTGGAACTAGCACCACCTGAGTTCGACGAACGTTGCCAGCGCATCGTCGCCGATGAGATGCTGCAGCGCCAGCAGCAATCGACCGAGTCCGTCACCGCCGCCGCCGACGCGGAGAGAAGCTGCCACCTGTGCAAGTACTGCAAGCTGCCGTTCTTCTACTTCAACAATTACGTGGCGCATCTGCGCGCCGCGCACTGCTTCGAGAGCGAGCTGGGGGCCAGGGACACGAGCACCCCCATGGTACCCGCGGGCAACGCCGGCGAGGAGGACAGCTTCCAGCTGCCGCAGCCCGGTACGCAGCTGCTGCTCGCCAGCAGCTACAAGTACGAGGACGAACGCAAGACGCCGGCGACCCCGCCACCGGTGGTCGCGCCGTCGAGGCTCGAGGTCACCTCGGATCAGAACGATTGCGACGAAGAGGATTCCGATGCATTGGAACAGCCGCCGCAGATGCCCGAGAAGGAGCAGGAACAACGTATCATGCTCCAATGCGTGCTCTGCAATACGATGTTCTTCTCCATGTACCAGCTCAACCGTCACGTCATGCAGTACCACAGCTGCAAGGCTGCGCTCTGAGAACGACATGCTTGTATATACGCGTCGATCGATCCTCGCGATTATTTTTCTTTTTCATTTTCTTTCGTCTCGAGAGAGAGGCTACGTTTCACAAAAGCTACGCGGCCTATTTCCACCCCCGCGTGTGTACGCGTTTTTTCCATTCTAGCCCTGTGTGTGTCTTAATAATTTACATAATTTTACAAATATGTATAACGTTTAAAATTTAAGATATGTGTAACTTGACGATAGCCGTTTTCACGGTGTGTAACGTTTGTATTTCCGTATTTTAACGTGCGTCAATGTTTTCAGAAGATTCTGATTTTTTTGTACTTTTTTTGGCGCGTCGATGATCTATTCATATGTGTAAGAAATATATCAAATTGTAAACTCGGCTCAGCTCGCGCGGGCTTGTAGTAGATAAGACAAAAAAAAACATAATAATTTTTTAATCTAGGGATGAATAAAAAATATGTTTTCCTCCTCGCACATATTAATTAATTGTCTGTATATTACAAGCGGGCCCCTTCCTATAAAGAAGCTCGAGTGTATAAAATTTTTTTAATACGGCAACAGCGACACAGCGAGTGTGTAAGCTAGATATAAGTTGGATCGAGCGAGTGCAAGACAGTCACACGTATAACGCATACAGTAGCAGCGGAAGCAGAAGCAGCCACCCACCCACGCAGCTCTCGCTCTGCAGTACTGGTGCACTCGTTGGGTTTCAATAATTTTGCGAGTGAAAAAGAGAGAATGAGAGAGAGAGAGAGAGAGAGAGAGAGAGAGAGGAAAAAGAGGTGTGTATATCAAGCGAAAGAATACGCTGCTATGAACATGCCATGCGTTAAATTTAATTACCGAGATAGAGAGAGAGAGAGAAAGGGTGGGGGACTGTAGTAGTATAGACTTTAGAAGGGTTTCTCTTGCATGTGTGAATCAAAAGTCTCTCCCTCTCTCTCTCAGCGCGATTATATATTATTTGTGTGCCGAGCTATTTTCTGCGATCGAAATGAAATTTATTTCGATTCTATATACCCAAGCAGGCCGGACCCGTAGCACAAGGAAGGACGAAGGCGAAAACTTTACGACGCTGTGAATAAAAAGTGTCATCGCTGTGTAGCTACACTAGCTCGAGGTCCGAAAAAAGTTACCTCGTCTCGACTTATTAGGTGAACTATACTATTGCGCTTCGTAAAATCGGCCACAAAGTTAGCACAGCACTATAATAATAATACAACGCGACGAGCGAGCACCGAGCGTATAACAGATATATCCCGCCGCTATATTTTACATCGTGTACCCAGCGGTGTAACGAAGAAAAACACACACACGCAACACGCACACTTGCTATCACTTGTGCATCATGGCGATAACTAATATCACTAAAATGTCCACACGCACACGCACACCTAATGGACGAGTTGGCCGCGTGATTAACGCCCCGACGCGCTCACCGCTCAAATTATATATTACGCTGGCGCTAGCGGGGGTAGCTAAATAAATTAATAATTGCCTTTTCTCTTATGTGTGGTGCATATAAGCGGGGCGAGCATCGCCGCGAGCGGCCCCGTAGGTATAGTAGTATAATATAAATCTTGGCCCTACGCGCGCACCTATTTATGCATGCGCGTTCGGAAATTGCGAGAGAGAGAGAGAGCCAATGCGTAAACGCGATTTGGGTATAGACGTGTACTTTTTTTTCTCGAACGTTCACCCGGACATTATACGATACGCTCTAACGCTGGGTTAAAAAGTGTCGAACGCGGCGAAAAAAAAATAGAATCCGACGATCGTCGTTTGTAACGTGCTCGCGGGCCAAACAATGATGCGTTTCACGCGTGAAACAAATAAAATGCGCGCCCGATATAATACACACGCGCCTTCGCTATGGCGCGCGAGACACGGCCCGTGACGAGCAAACAAAACGAAAAAATGAAAAAAAAAGAAAAAAAATTGCCTGCGCGCGTAAAAAATATTACACAGATCCTTGGTGGGTATATTTGCATGAAAAAAAGGCCACTGACGCGCCTGGGCATCTATACTATAATGTCGCTCATGCATCCCATACTATGCGCGCCAAACACGGCGTTGTATTTACGTACAAACGTGTATATTACGTGTGTGCACTCGAGCTCTCTCGAACTTTTTTTTTCACTTTTTTTCCTCCGCCAGGTAAAATCGCCTTAATTAATTTTAATCGAGCGCTTATTATCTCTGTATTACCAGCTACGTATGCACGAGGAGGACGTCACGGAGCTGTAATTACGACAGCTCGCCAAAATTGATAATGTAATGTTACATACAACGTCAAGATAGAGACAGTTCTTGAATCAAAGCCAGTGCAACGTTACGCTGCGTGTAAATATCGTATATCCCACCAAAAGTTGAAATCGACGTAATTTATCTCGACTTTATAGTTTGGCTTCTAAAATATGGTAAAATGGTTTTTTTATCTTCTTGTCGGAATTAGTGATTGTTTAACTGAGCCACCAATTTTTTAAACAGATATATTTTTAAAAATGATTGATCAGATTCAAATTTTGTATCAGTACTAATGATAGCTGTATAGATTTATCTTGGGGATGCTCGAAAATTTGAATGCATTCAATGAGAGAAATCAAAAATGTTGAACCAATTATAATGCATTTAATTTTGAAGACGTGGATTATAGTTGGACGAGTGAATGGCTATTTTGGAAAGTATACTATGAAAAACAATTAAAAATACATTGGTATCCACACTATACAATTCTTTAGAGAATGATGCATCTTGTTTTTAATGACCGATCAGCATATGACAAGGAAAAAAATAATTAATGTATATCTAAAAGTGATCATTTACTGATCGGAAGTAGTCAATCACTGGTACAAGTACGCTATTTTAAATTTGAAAGATGCACATGGCTTTCTAATTTGATTTGAGTAACTTCATTTAAAATGAATCGTGAGGTAAGACTCAACGTATAGCAGTCTTTCATGTCTGTCTGAAGTACAGCTGCGAAACAAGTGGCGACCAGTTTCGAATTCAACCGCTAGATGTCATAATCAAATCCGAACACGAAAAATTAAATGACCGCTTGAATTTCAAACTGATTTTTAGAACTCGGTAGAGTGCCTGGGGCTTGCTCCGGCTCTACCATGGGTCTTGTCTGCATTGCATTACCGCAGATATAGGCCTGATAATCTAATTAACATTAAATAACGTACATATAACTGTCTACGACGATGTCAAAGTTGTAACGAAGGATGTTTTGTTACAAGTAATGGTAAGAGCCAGAAAGTGCCGGGCCTAGCTAATAGTGCATCAGAATTGATGGTGTAATCTAACGATTCGTTATTATAAAGACAGAAACTAATACGTTTGGAGTTTTTATCACAGAAACCAGCATGTTAAAATCTGTTTTTAATAATTGTTTTCATAAAGAAATTTTCCACTTGTAAAAAAATTTTTTGTAAGTATTTGTAAATAAATGAATGAAAAATTCTTTTACGTAAGCATTTTTTTTGCAAACATTTTTACACCAGTGAAGAAAACCCAAGTTCACTCTTTATTATGAGTACTTAATGTTTCAACGTGGACATTGTTCGAACAAATTAAAAAAAAATTATTTTCAAGAAGTCCTGATCATAAAAAGCCTTTAAATTTATCCTTTTTTTGAATATTACATGTTATAGATAATAACTGTTTGATAAGTTTAGTCTGAATAAAATGCAGTGGTAATGAATGTACAAGATTCAGATTTATTACTTCAAATTATTATGTGCTTATTGAATATAAAAAATTTTACATATTTTCATTACATGTATTTTGCTTGTATATTTTGATTTTGATAATTTATTTTGGTTATGAATTAATTCATTTGAATCACAGTATAAAAAATATACATATTTACATTACATTATTTATAGTCACATTAAAATTTTCACAGCTATTATGAGATCTAGGTCATTTTTAAATTTATTTTAACATCATTGATTATATGCGGCGATTAAAAATGAGCTATTTTTAATTCTGCATTCTTAAAAACACTTGCATGTATGTATCATTTGCATCCTTGCAATAATAGGCTAAAGATATTCGCCACAAATCTTCATTTTTCAGTTCATCGATAATTTTTTCACAGCACTCGATTGGTAATCGATGTCGTATAAGTTGAAAATAAAATGTCTGGGCCCAGCTGCAGAAGAATGCTCTTGATAGCTTTTCGCACAGATGTTTAACACAATCATCAAGGTGTCTTTCTGGAATTTTCCTCCAAGCAGCTGAGCGCCAAAAATGAAAGTAATCTAAGTGTGAAAGTTTTTTTGCGGCCTTTTTTGGTTGTAACTGGATGAGCTGGTAAAGCGAAAGATCCAATTTTATATTTATCTTTTTCGCTTTCCTCACAAACTCCTCGTTGTCATACCAAAGCTGATACGCATTTGCTTCTCGAGCCTCCTCGATCAAACTGTTTTCAACAAAAATGGTCATGATTGTCAGGACATCTTGTTCCTTGAGTTCATAACCTTCTTTTGCGAGAGTCTCCATCATAATCATGAGTTTAGTAGACAGTAGCAATCTTGAGCAAATAACTTTCCTAAATGGAAAGTATGGCATGCATGACATGAACGTTTTGGCAAAACATTTCAAAGCGGGAAAAACGAAGCTAGATAGATTGGTGCCACGATCCAAAAGAGTTTCAAACGCACGCCGCGAAAGCCGAGCTACGGCCCATTCAAGCGGTGTTTGGCCGTCGTTGTCTCGGATATCAACTTGTATTCTAAGTTGTTGTTCGTCTACGGCAATCTTAAAGAATTCGTCAACGAAGCCATCATCATTTTCTCTCCTGCCAATGACGTGCAGAGCTGTGGATCCATTCACATCTGCTAAAGTCGGGTCGGCACCTCTTTCCAGAAGAATTTTTATAAGCTCTAATTTACAACCATCAAAAAGAGCCATGTGTAGCGGTGTCCGGAGCGAATTGTCCTGTGCATTGACCTGCACTTGCTTCTCGTTTTCATCGCAGATTTCGAAAAATCTCTCAACGAAAACATGGAGTTCATATTTACGAGATATTAAGTGTAAAGCTGTCTCACCGTCCCCATTGGCGAAGTTTGGATCCACACCTCTTCTCAGCAGCAATTCGGCCATCCTCCTGTCATTGCGAATTAAAGCATAATGCAGTGGCGTCCATTTTAATCTATACTGAGAATCGACCTGCGCTGGCAAATTCTTTTCGTCGCAGATCTTGAAGAATAGCTTCGCCAATGCACGACTGTCACTTCGCATGCATATTATCAGGAGAGGGGTTAATCCATCCTCATCGGCAATGTTCGGACAACACCATTTTTAAATAGCAATTTCAGAATCTTCTTGGTGCCGGTTTCTGAAAATCGCAATGCAAAGTGCAGTGGTGTAGCGCCCCACGAGGTCTGGGCGTTGACACGCACCCGTCGTTTTTTTTTAACACAGGCCTCAAAGAACATCTCCGCCAAGTCATCATTGTCGTCAGGTCTCTTACAAATCCAGTGCAGAGGAGTTAACCCGTCTTCATCGGCCGAATTCGGATCAGCGTCTCTTTTTAACAATATCTCGGCCATTTCTTTATCGCTGTTATACAATACGTAATGTAGTGGTGTCCGTTGAATGTCATCTTTGGGATCTATTCGCACCTGCCGATTTTGTTCATCGCAGATTTTGAAGAAAGTCTCGGCTAAATCCTTGATATCATCTCGCATACAAATAATGTGCAGAGGAGTCACGGCATCAGCATCGGATAAGTTCGGATCTGCACCTCTTCTCAACAGCGTTTTTACAATTTTTTTTTTACAGCCATCCATTAAAGAATAGTGTAGAGGTGTACGACCCCAATTGTCTTGAACGTTAACTAATATCTTCCTATTTTCTTCGTCGCAAATCTTAAAGAACGTCTCGACTAACTCGTCGATTGCATCTCTCATACAAAGAATGTGCACAGGAGTCATGGCATCAGCACCGGCCAAGTTCGGATCCGCGCCTCTTCTCAACAGCGTTTTTACAATTGTTTTTTTACAGCCGTCTACTAGAGAATAGTGTAGAGGTGTACGACCCAAATGGTCTTGAACGTTGACTAATATCTTCCTATTTTCTTCATCACAAATCTTAAAGAACGTCTCGACTAACTCGTCGATTGCATCTCTCATACAAAGAATGTGCAGTGGTGTCGATCCATCCTTTTCCATTACATTTGGATTAGCGCCATTTCTTACCATCAATTGCATGGTAGATTTCTTCGAACCATGTGATACCAAGTAATGGAGGGGACTTCGTTTCAAATAGTCTTGGGCGTCGACTTGCACCGATCTTTGAGTTTCATGTACTTCAAAAAATATTTTTGCAAAAATATAACCTTCATCGTGGCCGAATACATCACAAACTATGTGTAAGGGAGTCAAATCTTTTTCGCACGCGTAATTTGGATCGGCGCCTTTTCTCAGCAGTAATTCGACCACATGCTTATGCTTTTGTTCTAAAGCTATAAGCAATGGAGATTTACCTTTCAGACTCTTAAGGTAATTGGTACTTCCAAACAGAAATTTGGAATCATCTTGTTTCGGCACGATGTCGTCGGGATCTTGTCCGAGCTCAAGAAATTTCTTGACAATGTTGTAACAGCCGCAGAGGCAGGCTATGTGGAAAAGTTTCACTCCATACGGGTCGGTGTAGTTCACATCGACCCGGTCGTATATTTTAAAAAGCTCGTGTATCACGTTGTATTTCCAATTATACCATAACTCAGCTGCATGATGCAAAGGAGTGGTTTGATTAAACAGTGGCCTGCCTTTTTCATCGACTTCGGGCTGGTGTTTATAACTGCAGCGAACGAAAAATTTGATTATACTTTCTCCTATAAAATATATTGAACTTTGAGTTGCTTCGAAGAGTATGCGCTGGATTGTATTAATATCAAAAATATCTAGCAGGTCTGAATATTTCACTTGAAAGCTCTCCTCTCTGACCAGCAAATACATTTTGTTCATGAAATGAAGACGCTCTTCCCTTCTTTCCCAATTTATTGTTCTTAGCAATATATCCAGATTATTAAGATCATTTTTGTTTTTATAAGATACAATTGATTCTTCTTCTGACATGATTTTACACGCACTCACAGCACAAAGTCGCTTGATTTTATCAATATATTTCTTTTTTTTCTAGACCACCACTTGCCACAGTTGAACTGATTAATAAAATAAGAGCAATGAAGAATATAAGAATCTGATACAGTATTAAAAGGTAAATAATTCCAGATCGAAACTCTCGATTTTGTGCTATTGTAGATGTAATACAACGTACAATAAATATCCTCGTATGAATACGAGTGGCCCAATCTCGCTTTGCTTATATAATACTCTTGTTTATACAGTTTAAACCAAGACAAATACACAGTGACGAGCAAAAATTCCGGCGTTTCGGCCCAAGTGTCCAAGCGCGGCGACCGCACGGCACTTTAAGGCGAAATTGCTTGATTTCTATCTTGCTGTAAAGCCCCCCAAACGCACTTAAAAAAAATATGTGACATATGATTTCGATTTGAAATTTCCTCAGCTTTCCAATGGTGAAGTCAGATTTTTAAAAATTTTCCATTTTCCACGGAAAATTTTCAAAAATAAACTTTCAACATTAAATATCTCAAAAAAGGCATTTTTAAGATTTTTTAAAGTAGTCTCAATCGAAAGCTGAGGAAATTTCCCACCGAAATACATATTTTCCAGAGAGTACATTTTATTTTTACTAGCTGAAATACAGCGTTGAACATGTAAAAGCGTGAGATTTTGCGCCGCGCTTGGGCCGAAAAGTCGCGTTTTTACACGTTCATCGCTGTATTTCAGCTAGTAAAAATAAAATGTACTCTCTGGAAAATATGTATTTCGGTGGGAAATTTCCTCAGCTTTCGATTGAGACTACTTTAAAAAATCTTAAAAATCCTTTTTTGAGATATTTAATGTTAAAAGTTTATTTTTAAAATTTTCCGTGGAAAATTTAAAATTTTTAAGTTTTACTTTACTAGTAAAATAAGTCTATATTTTAAGGACATCTTTTATTGTTAACAATATGTACTCCAAAAACTGCTAGAATATATTTAAGGTACATTTGGATTACATATTTAGAAGAATACATATTTACAATACATCAGATAGTCATAATTTTCAAAAAAAGCAAAAGGACATGAAGCAAATTAATTTTTTCATCAACGAAAATATTTTAAATGCAAGTTGTGAAACGTTTATTGACATGAATATTAACTAAAATTTTTAACGCGTCCTTCGTTTCTCAATTGGAATTTAACCTTGCCCCAGTGTTATCTCGATAAGGTGCCATAGTAAAGAACATACAATTTAAGAAGGTTTACTACATTTTATTGGTACAAGTTATTTATTGGATTTATTTAAGGGATATAAAAACTCTAAAAAATTTAATAAAAAATGGTATAAACAATGACTAAAAATATGTTTTCTTCATCCCATGCTCGAAAGTACGTACTTTCACCTTCGAATTCGGGGACGAAAGTAATACTTTTGCTCCCCGACAATATCGCGCGAAAGTTATTATCTCCATGACTACGGCAACCTACATTTAAATTATCGTTTGGTTTCGACTATGCAATAGATGAATTATATTGATTTAGTTTATGATGTACATATGCCAGATTGAATAAATATTAAAAGACTAACAATTCTATGAAGTATCAAAATTGAACAGCCATAATTTGACGTACACATTTCATTACATTCAATTCCAATCCGGAATTTAAATCGTTAAATATGGTAGTTGTAATAAAAAATGAGATGTAAGAGAACAAAGACAGTCAAAATATGTTAATTTTTATAATATATTTTGAAAAATTCTTTCAACTTTAAACGTTATTCTAGGTCACTCAAGTTTCTACTCTTCTACCTCAGATTGAATGAATTACTTAATTGAAATTTTCAAAATTTTACAAAATAAATGTTTAATTGAACACAACTTCAAATCGGAACAAGAAGAAAACATATGGTACTAATTCATGCTTATACTTTACGGGATCGTTTGTATTTTATTAACGCCATAGTTATCAATGATTTACAATTATTTATTAATAATATTAGTTATGTACTAATAAACATTATTATTGATGATATTTGTTGCCATGTAAGCGTAAATTCATGGATACAATTTTTTTAATAAAATATTTCTTAACTATGTTAAGCAAACGTACTTTCGAGCGGGGATAAAGAAAAATCGTATACGCGACTCGGGACAAAAGTTAAACGCCGGGGTCAAAAGACGGGACGGAAGTTCGACGTTCGTCCCTTGTCACGTAATATACTATTATCGACATCACTCATTATGGATTGCCACCGCTAAGCAAACATGATATAAATCTTCATTTGGCAGCATCTCGATGACCATGTCACAGCATAGAATTGGCAATCGATTGTGTATCAGTTCCATGAAAGAACCCAGTGCCCAACTCAAAAAAAATCTTCTCCATACTTTCTCGAATATATGCACAAGACAAGCCTCTTCGAACTTAGCGAGGAGCCGACACAATTTGTTCGAGCATGCAAACTCCAAGTACTTCGAATATGTGACTACTTTACCACCTGTTTGGAGTCGTAACTGCATAAGGTCGTAGAGAGACAGGTCCGGCATCATTATTATATTTTTAGCTTCTCTTTTGAACTCTACATCATCAAAGCGACCCTTGGAAAGATCCGACGAAATCTTAAACAATCCGTACTTGGAGAATACTTTCATGATCTTCAGGGCGTCGCTTCGATCCAGTTCGCATCCTCTTTTCTCAAGACGTTCAACGATGGCCAGAATATTACACGCTCGTCTTAATTTCGTTCTAAGCAATAAATCGCCTTCCATAAGTCTTAATTCCTCACCTAAGTAACTCTCATCGGGAAAGACAAAGTTGGAAAGATCAGCGCCATGATCCAAGAGCACATCGACAGTACTCAGCGATAATTTCGCCACAGCCCACTGCAGGGGTGTTCGACCCAACTTGTCTCGAGTATCGACCTGCACCAGCTGATGTTTTTCCTCGCTGATCTTGAATAAAATTTTCACCAAGTCATCGCCGTGATAATGATTCTGAACAATAATGTGCAAGGGTGTCGATCCTTCAGCATTGCTTAAGTTCGGATTAGCGCCTCTTCTTAGCAGCAATTCGGCCACCTTCTCGGCGTACTTACGCAAAGATGTGTATGCCAAGTGCAAAGGCGTGTTACCTAGCTTATCCTGGGCATCGATCTGCACCAATAGTTGTTTTTCGTCGCAGGTCTCGAATAATATTTTTACCGAGACAACTTCGAAGCCTCTCTCACAAGTATAATGCAGAGGAGTCAATCCATCCTTGTTGGCCAAGTTCGGATTGGCGCCATTTCTCAGCAAAAATTCTATTTTCTTCTTGATGCCGAATTGCAAAGCAAAATACAATGGTGTATTACCCAACTCGTCTTGGGCATCGATCTGCAATGGCTGAGCTTTGTCGTTGCTACACTTGAGAAACATCTCCGCCAAGTCATAGTTGTCGTCGATTCCTCTGCATATAATGTGCAGAGCAGTCGATCCATCTGCATCGGCTAGATTCAGACCAGCGCCATATCTCAGCAGCAATTCAATCCTCATCTTCATATCGCTGAACGGCGATTTCAATGCCATGTGCAATGGTGCGTTACCCGACTTGTCACGAGCATTGACCCGCAACAACTGATGTTTTCCGACGCAGACCTCGAATAACATCTTCATCAAGTCATAGCCGTAGTGGTTCTTGCAAGTAATATGCAAAGCTGTCTCACCCATATTGTTGGCCAAATTTGGATCTGCTCCTCTTCTCAGCAGAAATTCGGCCATGCTCTTGCAGCTGCGACTCAGAGCCAGGTGCAGCGCCGTATTACAGTTTGTTCCCATGGGGAGATTTGGATCCAGCCCCGATTCAACAAATTTCACGATGGCGTCGTCGCAGCCATAAATGCAGGCCACTTGGAAATGAGTGAGGCCAGACTCGTCAGTGTAATTCACGTCAAACCTGTCGTATATCTCGAAGAGGTTTGCATGGAAAAAGCCGTTACGTTGCACTGCTTGATGTATTAGTGTGGTGCGACGTGGCGATGGATTACTGTCTTCATCGACTGTGGGCTCGTACTTGTAGCCGCTACGAACCACGGAGTTAATAAATGAATATCCACGGCGGCAATTTATAGAGTCCGAGAGGAGACGATCGATTTCTTCTTTACAAAAAATTTCGCGGAGATTTGGAGGTTTACCCTCCCACTCTTTAATCATTGTATTGAATTGATCGAGAAGATCATTTCGCTGTTGTTCGTTCTCCCAATTGACCTCTCGTAGCGTATTATTGAATGAAGTTAAACAATCTTGATTGTATCGAGACATATTTTAACACACGCACAATTGAACGAAATATAAAATAGTAATATTTTCACTTGTCGCACGAATGTCACTTGCTGCAATAATTGAAATTTATTTTTGATGCTCACGTTGCGGTGTCGTAACCTGTACTCACTACTGTACACTGCGCGTGGACTAATTTTGTCCATTTGACACGAATTCGGTCGGTATGGGACTTGTATAAGCATACAACGTTCCGTAATTCAGTGGACAAAATTAGTCCGCGGACAGTGTACATTCACTAAGATTTTCATTAGAAAGTAAAATACACATGGCTGAAGCTATAAGAAATACATGTAGCTATGTGTACAATCGAAGACGTGAAAGTCAGTAACGATTGAAGAGCGTAAATCAAGCGTAATAGGGACCAGGCACGGGTGTGACATACGCGGCAACAGTACCAATAGTGCACGACCGAGCATGTGTGTCGCCGCTACTTCACTGAACTTACGCTTTTTAAATCAGTGACTCTGTATAGGCTTATAGTTGAGCGTAAACGTACAAAACGCGAGAAAGACAGAAATAAACGTGACATTTTATGTAGCTACATATTATATTATATAGCTACATATCG